AATTTTAGCTAATATTGTAATTAAAACAAAATGGTAGTTTATATTTTTATATTTATATTTAAAAAACAAAATGGTAGTTTTTTATATTTAAAATGGTATTTATATTAAAAAAAAAAATAAAATAAGAAGTCTTTAAAATTCGTAAAATAATTGGGAATCAAAAAATTTAGAACATTTTAAATGTTTAAAATTTTTTAATCATTTAAACTGATTACAATCATAATTCATATCATTGATCTCTTTGTTTTTTTCTAATTTCAAATGTCAAAATTGATTAAATATTTATATTTAATTGTACTTTTCTTTTTTTTTTTTTAAATTTCAAAAGGTATTTTTATATGAATGCAAAATGTTTTTGTTAATTTTTATTTTGGTAGTTGCAAAGAAGTGTCAATATAGGTAGGAATTTAATAATAGAAAGAAGGAAGGAATGAATAAATGAATGAAATTAGGATGAAATGGTAAATGAAGAACGGAGATGACAGAGGGTTATTGACTTGAAAACGATAAGAAATGAAGGTGTGAATGCTGGCGCAAACTGTTACTTCATTCATTCTAATCATTTTCACTAAAATATTTGTGTATGATGATGATGATGATAATAATAATAATAATAATAATATGACATTCATTAATGCTATTACTAACCAATGACCTAAATTTGAACTTAAATATATTTGATAAGATAAAATTTAACAATAACATTTTATGAATAAAATAACATAAAATATAATAAATAAAATACGGTGACATATAATTATATATTTATAAATATATATAATATATGCATCAGTAAACAATCGAATAGCGCAAATATGCAAGTAGTAAATGAATTGAAACGAAGAGGAAGAAAAAAGAAGAAAGAAGAAAGAAAATTATGGAATTTAGAAGAAAAATGCACATGAATAGAGGCAGTAGTAGTGTGCGACAATTGCGCCATTACTTTTATATGCCATTGAAAAAGCTAAAAGATAAATTGAATAAAACTATTTGAGGTTTTCATAAATTTTTGTCCTTCTATATATCATTTACTCGAGCAATTAATAATAATAATAGAATTATAATAACAATAATAATATTGCATGACAATAACGTAGTAATAACTATAATAATAGTTAATAATGATAGTAACAATAATAATAATATATGACAAAAATGTAATAACCACATAATAATAGTAATTAATGATGATAATGACAATAATAATAACAGTGCAGTAACAGTGCTGATAATAACAACAAAAGTAGTAATAATACTGATCCTAATAATAATGATAATAACAATAATAGTAATAATAATAACAGTAATAATAATAATAATAGTAAATAATAATAATAGCAGTGATTTATTCAGAATGAAATTTTGAAAATTTACAATTGTTTGATTTTTATCGCTATTGTTTTATTCTTACCTAATTCAATAAATGTTTTATATTTTTAAATTTCATATTTAATTAGCAATTATTTTTTCACTCAATTTTTCCATACTTTTTCACTTGCAAAAAAAATTTTTTTCAATAAGATTAAAACAATTAAATTAGCTCTTTCCGATCATTTTTCTTTTCTTCAATTTCACTAGGAAATTATTTTGTAATGTTATTTCTTTTAAAACATTTTATGAATTAAAGTATTTAAATAAAGAATTTGTATTTCAAGCATTTTAAATTATTGTTGAATTGATTTAATTATTATATCTTACATTTAATTAGCAATTCCTATTCTTTCTTTTCCTGAATTTTAAATGCAACTAATAAATATGTAAAATTTCATACTTTAGTCTAAATTGGAACAATTTTTATTAATTTATAAATGAAAATTGGTTAAAATCCGTTAATGGTGTGAAATATACACAAACAATTAGGTCAACAAATTTATTAAATTTTATTAAAACATTTTAAAAGTTATTATCGCTTCAACAAATCATTTTCTTTTCTCTTTATTAAGCATTCTTTCTTCATTCATACTTCTCGTTTGTTTGTTTTTTTTTTTTATTAAATTCAATTAATATATTAAATTCATATTAAACTCAATTACTATATTAAATTCATATTAAATTCAATTACTATATTAAATTCATATTTAATTCAATTACTTCAATTACTATTTGAACTTTTTTTCAGTTTAAATCGAAATATTTTCCTGAACACTTACAAAATATTCGTAGCCAAGAAGGTTGCATCGTTTTATATTTCATTTACGTAAATAAATTTAAAAATATTTTTTGTGATCTGTTGATGAACATTTAATCATATATTATCGATAAGCTTTAAATTAAGAAATCTTTGATTATTCTCCAATAAAAATACAACGACTATTTAGCAATGAATTTTAATTTAATAATTAAATTATAAAGACGTCTAAAAGTTTACCTTAAACGTTTTTTTCTTTTTATGATCTGTCGATGATATCGATTAAGCATATTTATCGTTGAATTTTAAATTAATAATTCTTTAAATATTCTCTAATAAAATTATAAAGACGTGTAAACGTCTACTTTAAACGTTTTTTTTTCAATGATAAAAGTGATTATTCAATAAATATTGATAGAGTAAATATTTAAATTAAGGTAAACAATTTATCAGTGATGTTTTTCCTTTCTTTCTCTTTCTCTCCCTCTCTCTCTCCCTCTCTCGATACTCCCTTTATCTGATTAGATTCCTTCTACGTGATTATTTGTCAAATTGCTGAAATGATTAGTGATAGTAGGTCAGGGTCACAGTTACGTATGCCGTAGCACAGATTCCGTCCCTTAGATGGCCATCAACACCCCCTCTCGTCAGTGACCCCTTCCGCAACACTTAGGTTTTATCATTTTGAAATTTACTTTATATCATCAATGATTCATCAATTCTAATTAGGGATGGATCATTACAATCGGTTTATAATTAAATTTGTTAACCATTTTGTTGATTAGAACGCCCTAATTTCATCGTGTAATTCACAAAATGACATATAAGGAATGTTCCCTTAAATTTTAAGTGGAATTTAATATGAGGAAAAGATTGAAATAAGCAGAGAAGACGGAGTAAAAATTTTATTCTAATATTAAATTTTAGTTTTGCTTATCTATCGGACAAATTTTATTTCAAATTTTTTGCATTAAACTAGTTCCTTCCTTTATTTGTGATAAGATATTTTGCAATTAAATTCATCCCTTCTATTAATAACATTTAATTATCTTTAAATTTAATTGTTTCATTCAATTTCTAAGAGATTTATCGTTGGCTTAATTTAATGCAAATCTATTATTATCGTTTGTATTTTAATTATTCAAATATATTTGGAATTAATCAAATATCATTGGATTAATTTGTGAATTGTAGTTTAAAATATTTCATTTCATTTTGCAAATTGCAAGTAACATTGTTATCTTCCAATAAATATATGAAATGATAATTTCAAATTTTTTTATTTAAATAATTTTTCAAAAATAATAACTTTAAATATTTTTAAAAACATAAATCTGTAAGATTGAAGAGTTACAAGCTTAACTTTATAATTGAGTAGAAAGAATTATTTATAACAATATATCATTTGTTTGATTTTTTCTTTTATGTTAATTTAAATTTTAAAATTGTTATGTTTTTTTTTTTAAATTTCCATGTCTTTATTTTACTTTATTTTTTAGCTAAGTAACACAATTTATGATTTTTTATAATTTCCAATAAATTTTGATAATTTATTGCAAAGCTTTTTTATTTCACTTAGTAATAAATCAAAATATTTAAATAATTCTCTAACTTCTGAATTACTATTAATTCTTTGCTTTTTTTTTTAAAAAAAAAGAGGAAGAAAAGCTATTTTAGTTGTTTTATCTTTTTCATTTCATTAATTGACAAATTATTTTCAAAACTTTAAAATAAAAATGCATTGCACAGATGCATTTTGATTAAAAATTAAAATCAGAAATTAAAATCAAAATTTAAAATCATAAAATATTTTTCATCTTAAATGTTATATTAACTTTATAAATTTAATTATTGCATTTATAATTAATTACTCACTCATTGTTTTTCATAATTTTAGACATTTTCTGAAATGATCAATCTCTAATTTTAATTTTTCATTATCAAAAAATGATAATTTATTCGTTTTAAATAATTTATTCAAATCAATGCAATATTTTCATTTTTATTTTTAATATATTGTCATTGTTACTATATATTTATAATCATTTTTTTTTTTTTTTGATATAAAATTATAATTTTTTCATTTGTAAAAATTTTTGTGTTAATTTTGTTTTTCATTCAAATTAAACAGTTATTGTCAAATTGTTATAAAATTTTAAATTTATATAATTTTCTTTTTTTTTTTTTTTTTGCTAAGGAATTCACTTAGACACCTATTAGTGACCTATTTGATGACATTATATGGATGACACACACATACACATACACACATACACATACACACCTACACATACACACCTACACACATACACACACATAAACATACTAAATTTAAAAAATATTTGTTTTCTTTCATTGATGGTAGATAACAGTGTGAGCTAAATTGAAAATAAAATATTTAAAAATTAAAAGAGAAATAGTAATATTACAAAAAAAAAAAAAAAAAATTCCAATAATAATTTCCGAATAGGAACGTATTTTTTTTCATTGTTACTGTTTTACCGGATTATATATCCGGTAAAATGGAAATTTCATATTGTTGTAAAATTTGTTTATCTATATGAAATGATAAATGATGGAATATTCTAAGATATAAAAATTTATGCTTCTATTTAATAATAATTTTTGCTAATATTATTTTCATTAGCAGTTTCAATCTTTAATACAAATCGTTATCAGTTATCATTTCTAATCATTAATAGTTAAAACTAAAAAAAAAAGTTGTAAATACTAATCGATTTTGATTAATATGCAAAATTGACTTAAGGTGCTAAATTTTCAAAAATTTAAATTTGCGTTTTTTAAATAATTTTATGAATTTGATAGAATTTTTTTTTATTATAAACATTTTAGAAATTTGTAAATCGAGCATATGAAGGCTTTGTTAGCCCAAGTGGTACTTGTCATCTTCTATTGTACTACCATTACTGCGGCTATTAAAACAAGTAAGATTTAATTAATTTAATTTAAATTTTAATTAGTATATCTAACAATTTTGAAAACAAAAATAATCGAATCGATTTTAGCTTTCATATGTATATAAATAAGAAGTTTGATAATTTTGGTAAAAAAAAAATTGAAAAGTAAAGTAATAAAATTAATTTGGCTTTAGGTTAATTAATAATAATAAAGAAAAAATTTGAACCTAAAAAAAATATTCATTTGATAGATGTAAACATTTTGATTATTTATTTAATATGTTTAGAAAATTTTGATTATTGATCTGAAAAATATATATATCAAAATGATGTTTTGCTATATTATTTGATAAAATTATGTAGATGTAATCAATCATTACTTTATTATCATTGAATAATTATTACTTAAAGACAAATATTTATTGATAACTGATAGGTAATTAATTTAGATACTTAAATTAATAAGTAATTAATTTAGTAATTAATTTAGATGATGTAAATCTATGCAAACGACAGCCTTTTCGAGGTCGCTGTCCTGCAGTAGATGGAAAAGGCCCAGCACGTTCGCAGTTTGTGTTACGTTACTATCTGAGGGATAATGAATGTGTCTCCTATCCTTTCGGTAAGTATTACTTTTAATACTGTAAGTAGAAATTATAGAGTTAAATAAATAGCACTTGGCTCTTTATCATCTAATAAAATTATAGAGTTAAATAAATGATACTTGGCTCTTTATCATCTAATAAAATTATAGAGTTAAATAAATATCACTTGGCTCTTTCTCAACAAGTGAAACTGTAAAGTTAAGTAATTAGCACTTGGCTTTTTTTCATCCAGTGAAAATTATAAAGTTAATTAAGTAATTCTTAGCTTTCTATAATCGAATAATTTATAAATAAGATTGAATTTTTGGTTAAAAAATTAAAAAGAAGTAAATTCATATTTTTAATTTCAAAATATTTTTAATTTCTTGCAACAAAAAGGATTGTAAAAAAAGTGTTTTAAAATTATGCTTTGAATTGTTGAAAAGATCAAGAATTATTATTATTGTCTTTTTTTTAATTTTTATTTTAGTAAAAAAATTTTTTTTTTCTTTAATTTCAGGTCACTGTGCAAATGATGAAAATGAACCAGTATTGTATAGATATAAAGAAGAATGTGAAAAAGCTTGTCTAAATAAATCGCCTACTAATGATCAAAGTACAACAATTCAAAATGATCATGAAATAGAAAAATCAGCAAATTCATTAATAAGTAGTGAAATTACTGATAATGATAAGGATAATGATAATGATAACGATAATGATATCAATGTGCAGATCAGTACTACATCATCATCATTTCCAATAATTGATAACAATAATAATAATACTACTACTACAACAATATCATCACAACGAGCTGCATTTATTGCTCAAAAAAGTAAATCTCACAAGTTACTTACTGGTATGTTAAATTTAATGTTTAATTAATCCTTGTTATAAGTAATGTAGTATTACTAATCCTAGTAATAAGTAATAAAATGAATTAAATAGTAATAATTAATTGTAATATAAAATTAACTAGTAATTAAGTAAATTAAGTAGTAATAATAAAATTAAATAGTAATAATTAAATTCTAGTAATACGTAATATAAAAAAAATTATTCCTTTTAATAAGTAATATAATATTACTAATCCTAGTAGTAAGTAATAAAATAATAATAAAATTAAGTAATAATAATAGTAATTTAATCCTAGTATTAAGTAATATATAAAAAAAGCTTATTTATAAATGCCCATTAAATTGAAATGAAAAAATTTTGTTTTCAATTGAAATTTAAATAATTAAAATTACATTTGAAGAATGCGAAAAACGTAGACAAGCAAGTGAATCAGGTCTTATCAAAAGTGATTTCATTCCAATTTGCGCCACTGATGGTACTTTTCGGCCATTGCAATGCGAAACTCAACGTGAAAATTGTTTTTGTGTGGATCATAATGGTATTAAAATACCAAATTCAGATTCTAATGGTACCAAAAAACCGGACTGTAAACGTTTGTCTTTTTTCTTTTTTTTTTTTTTTTGTTCCGGCAAAATAATTCATTTTTAATTTTACAATTTCTTCGTCTAACTATCATTTTTCATTTTTATTACTTATTTAATTCATTTAATTTTATCAAATAATAAACAAATGATGCATTATGCATTAAAAGATTAAAAATAATTGAATTTTCTTTTCTTTTTTTTTTAGATAATTAATCGAAATTTTGTGAACAAAAATTTTATTACATTAATTAAAACTAAAATTTAAATATGCAATAGTTTGTAGGAATAATAAAAGCGCAAAAGTCATTAATCTATGAATGTTTATCACCAATGGATTCTGGGCCATGTAATACAGCAATTAAAAGATGGTATTATGATACTCGAGAACGACAATGCATTAAATTTGAATATTCCGGTACATTTATTTACATTTTCTTTTCTTTTTTTTTATTCATTTTCAAACTGTAAACATTAGATTTAGATTAGCATTAATTATTTGAATACTAATTTAACAAATTCAAATTATTAATCCTTTCATAAAATGGATTATTTTTAAATATTTCCTTAACACTGATAATTTATCTTAATCCTAAATAAAAAATCGCTATAAAATGGAATAAGTAAGTTAATTTTTCATACGCCAAAATGAAAAATAACTATAAAATGGAATATAATTCATCTTAATCCTAAGTTAAAAAATAATTATAAAACAGAATAGAGTTAATTTTTATCCTAAATTAAAAAATAGTTATAAAATGGAATGAATAAGTTAATTTTTCATCTTAAATATAAAAAATAGCTATAAAATGGAATATAATTTATCTTAATCCTAAATTAAAAAATAATTATAAAATGGAATTAGATATAAGGTATAATTGAATTTTTTAAAAGAAATTTAAACAAAATTATGCAATATATTATTTATTAAAGTATTAATTAATTAATTAATTAGGTTGCGGTGGTAACGGTAACAATTATCCAACCAAAGAAGCATGCGAAAAACAATGCAAATCAACAAGCAATGAGCCAAAATGTAAAGGTGGCTTGCAACCATTACGGAATGAAAATGATCAGTTGGTGAACTGCACTGAGAGTACCTGTCCGAATGGTTATTTATGTTCGGTAGCACAACTTGGATCAGTCTGTTGTCCAATTAATGCATCTAGCAGTAAGCTTTCATATCAAAATAAAAAATTCAAAAAAAAAAAAACCTAAAATTGTAAATTTTAAATATTAAATTATTATTTATGCTTTGAATATTAAAATTAGTAAATTACTACTTATACAATAGTATTAAATAAAATATTATTCAAATTATAATATTAATGTGTAAGAGAATAGGTAAAAATATTAATTTCTATTAATTACTCAACTTTTTTTTCAGTTTTTTTATTAAGTATAAAAATATCGTATTTATATCTAAAGTTATACATTATTTTTTTTTTTTTTTGTTAGAAATTTTTAGAAATGTTTATTGTATTTTATTGAAATATTAAATAATAATTATTTATTATATTGTCATTTAAAAATATTCAAATTATTCTACATTTTATTTTTTTTTATTTTTATTTTTTAATTTTATTATTTCTATTTTTATTTTATTTAATTCTAATAAATATATTTTAGGTGCTACAACTAATATTTGTCAACTTCCAAAGGAACGTGGTCCTTGTGATCAGTATGAGCTTCGATTTTATTACAACAGCCGTCTCGGCGAATGTAAATATTTCTTTTTTGGTGGTTGTGAAGGCAATGCAAATAATTTTGAACGTGTGGAAGAATGTGAACGTATTTGTCGACAACGTTTGTTTTGTTTATTTCTTTTTAATTTGAATTTAAAATATTATTGTTATTATTATCATCATCACAACAACTTTATCTTTTTTTATTATTTCCAATTTAATTTTAATATCTTATTATTATTATTATTATCATTATCATTCTTTTTTAAAATGAAATTATTTGCTATATTTTTTATTAAATTAAAGAAAAAAAAAAGAAACAATGAAAGCAAATAATATTTTATTAGTATAATAAATTAATAAAAACATTTTTAGGTGGTGTAAAAATTACTGCAACATCAATTGTATCAGCACCTCAGCTAATAACATCTGGACCACAAATGCGAAAGCTTAACAAAGAATTTGGAATAAAAAATATTAAAAAAACTGGTGAAGAGAAAGAATTAGTAGAATTGATCAGTAATGATAATGATAATGATGATGATGATAATGATGATGATGATGATTCAGCAGCTAGCACAAATATTTCAAATGATATCAAAAATATCAATAATGATAATACTGCTGATACTACTACTACTACTGCTACCACTACTGATAACAATAATGAAGCTAATTTAGAAATCACATCGTCAACAACAATATTCCATGATGGATCAATGATAAGTAAAAATTTATCTGCAAAAAGTAGCATTAATCAAAGTAAATCACACCAATTGCAAAAAATTGATCAAAATATTGAAAAGAAAATTAAACAAAAAGGAGCAAAATTATCATTTGATAGTAATCGTACTGATAAAATCACTGATTTTACAACTGTCAAAACTAAGAATACAATTGCAACAATTGATAAATCAGAAAAGTTTACTACATCAAATAGAAATGAACAAAAATTGGCAAGTGAATCAGTTGCAATCACTACTGATCAACAATTATCTCAAAGGTTTACTTTACTTTACTTTACTTTCTTATCTCTCTTTTCTCTTTCTATTCCAGTATTTATAAGGTAATATACTTTATAAAAGTTATTTTTTTTTATTCTATTCTAGGGTTTATCTAACAGGTTTACTTTACTTTCTTATCCTTTTTCTTTTCCATCCTATTCTATTTTGTAAGGTAACACATACTTTATTTACTTTATGAAATTTATTCTTTTTGATTTTCTTATTCTAGTAGTACTTGTCTATTAGGTGTACTTTCTCATCCTCTTTCTATTCTATTTTATTCTATTCTATTCTATTTTAATCTATTCTATACCGTTCCGTAGCATTTACGAGGTGATATATATATTATAAAATTTATCTTTTTGATTTGTTCTATTCGATTCTATTCTAGGATTTGTCTAATAGGTTTACTTCACTTTCTTATCCTTTTTCTATTCTTATCAGATACTAGTATTAAAAGATTATTATTATTATTGTTTTATAGTGACGAAGAGATGAAAATAATTACATCAACAACAAAGACAACAGTAGAAAGCTTATCAGATACATTCATTTCAACAGCATCAGCTTCTTCAACTGCTTTATCTCCCAGTACAATCATAATTACCACAACCTCACAATCAATTTTATCAACAACTACACAACCAATTGCAAGTAAGTTGCTATTTTTTTATTTTTAAATTAAATTTATCAAAATCATTAATTTCAGAAATAGTTTCTTTTTAAAAAAGAAATTCTACTTTAGATTACATTAAAGATAAAAAATATTGCAATTATTTATTTAAAGATAGCAATGATCGATGCTTTCAAAAATTTGATCGAGGTACATGCACTGGACAATTCATTCGATGGTATTGGGATTTTGAAAAAAGCACCTGTCAAGTATTTACTTATTCTGGTTGTGGTGGAAATGGCAATAATTATCGTAGCCGAGAAGATTGCTTTGCTGCATGTCATCAACCTCGTAATTTTTGCTTGTTTATTTATTTTTCTGTTTGTTTATTTGTTTGTTTGTTTGTTTGTTTGATTCTTTTTTTTTATCCAAATACTTATACATGATAATTCTATCATTATTTACATTTTCATTATAATTTCTAGCACAACCAACACCAAAACTGGATAATATCTGTGAGCACAGCATTCATCCAGGTGATTGTACCGGTATCTTCCAGAGATTTGCTTTTGATTCGACAATTAATGATTGTCGACCATTTACATATACTGGCTGTGGCGGTAATGGCAACAACTTTGGAAGTTCATTAGAATGTCGCAACAGATGTATCGTACAAAGTTTGTACTACAAAATTTTTTAACTTTATTTTTGGTAACAAAAAAAAGAGAGAGAGAAAAATAATGATAGTAGGAGATGTAATAAGTAACATTTTAAAATATTTCAGTATCAAGCTAAGAAAGCTTAATTCTATTTATCACAATAGTTTATTCAATCACAACAAAAAATTGTCTTGAAATGCTTTATATTGTCACATGACGGATGTCATTTTGATCTGATTAGATCAGATCAAGTCAGATCAATCTTTTTAATGATTATTTTTAGAACCAACACTGTCAACTGATGTATGCAAGCATCCAATTGAAGTAGGTGAATGTTCTGGTGTTTTCCCGCGATTTGCATATGATCTGGTAGCTAATGAATGTCGGCCATTTACATACGGTGGTTGTGGCGGTAATGGTAATAATTTTGGATCAATGCTTGAATGCAAAACAAAATGTGTTCAAGGTTAGATTATTTTTGCATTTTCTCATGTGACATTGATAGGAAAATATATTTGTCAAACTTAATTATTCGCTATTTAATTAATAATTTAATTATGTTATCAATAATTATAGGATCAGATGAATTAGTGAAATGTCCCACAATAGATGCATCATTATGCGTTGAGCCATGTATTTTATTCACAAATCGTCAAGACTGTCATGAGTGCAAATGTCCAATTGCGCATTCTGAAATTGATAATGAACCAATTGAACCATCTGTAATCACTTCCACTTTGATATCTGATAAATCATCAGATGAATCGAAATCACTTGAAGCTGAACAATTTATTGGTAATTCTATTTATATTCATTGAAAGCTATTTTTTTTCTTTTTTCATTTAATTCTATCAAATATTAACAAATGATGCATTAAACATTAAAAGATTAAAAATAATTGAATTTTTTTTTGAAATAATTAATTGAAATTTTTTAAACAAAAATTTATTTAATAATAAACTTCAGAAAATAAGGTGGAAAAGAAACATGGATCTATGTCACATTCCGGAAGAACTTCACAAACAAATTCGGTAACTGAATTAGGTGAAAAATGCTCACAACCTATGGTATGTTATTGTAATTAAAAATTGATTTTTTTTTAAAAATTTTAAATTTTTTTTAAATTTTGTTTTTTAAAATTTTAAACTTATAAATGTTAAAATTATCCGTTTTTTTTGAACTTTTGTTAAAAGTTTATTTGATAATGATATAATAAACAAAAATGATAAAATATTGAACAAACTTCGATTATTTAAAATAATGATAATTTTATATTTTTATATGAGATATTTTATTAGGATGCTGGACCATGTAAAAATTTTATCGAACGTTGGTTTTTCAATATTAATACTAGTTTATGTCAATCATTTCAATATGGTGGTTGTGCTGGTAATCGTAATCATTTCTTCTCAAAACATGAATGTGAAATACATTGCGCTCGATTTTTCAGTAAGTTTTTCTTTTAATATATTTATAACAAAAATTTTCAATAATGCATGGCAATTTTTTACTTTTTTTTTTACTAAATTATTTTAAATGCACTGAATTGCACATTGAAATAACTTTATATTACATTCATTTTTTTTTTTAAATTATTTTGCGCACAAAGAAGCATTTTAGAAAGAAGCATGAAAAGAGATATATTTGATAAATTAAAGAAAGAAAAAGGCTCATTTTATCACTAAAAATATATCATTTTAAATTAGTCTAATTTAATGTTATTCATCACTTCCACTAAATACACTAAACTAAATTATATAATTTATCATTGAAATTACTTTATATTACATTCATTTTTTGTTTTCCTAATGAATTTAATTCTATTTTAAAATTAAATTATCATTGACGGAAAGCAAAAAAAAAAAAATTTGAAATAAGCCAAAGCATCTGTTTAGATGGACGCACAGGTCGTAGAAGAATAGCAGCTTATGAAAGTGTCACACATACCTCACAATTTAACACTCTCACCGGGTCGCAATCAACAAAAATATTAAATGAGCATGATGATATTGTTGATAATAAACAACAAAATATTTTACAACAATCATTCACAAATGTTATCACTAATAATTCTCAGCAAAATTTATCTAAATCTAATTTGGAAGATGGAAAGCATATCAAAGTGAAATTGGATGATACAGCAATTGAAAATATTGCAAAAAGTTCTATAAGAAGGCATCAACAACAACAACGACAACAACAACAACATCAACAACAAAAGCAACAACAACAGCCTTTGTCTATTTCTTCAGGACACAAGATAGATAGTTCGGTAATAAATAGTAATATTCCGGAAAAATCTATCATTCCTGATGATGACAAACTAATACCGATGATAGTTACAAAACAGTATGGTATAAATGACAAACGAATTGATAATGACTGGAAGGCAGTCATTAGTAATACTCAAAATAATTCTACACAAATGATCAATGCATTAAGATCAGAGATTAGTACCCCAAAAGATAGTTCGTCATCGATGATGTACTCATTTGATTGGAATAACGATGATTTAGCTCATCAACAGAAGCAATCACAGATTATGACAGTTCAGGGAATCGATATTTCACAAATTCAGAATGAATTATCAAAGCAGCAAAAACATAATGCGCAAATGTCTCAACATGAGATGGTAGAAGATATCACTTCATTAAAATCAAATCTATTCGACAATCATCTTGCTAAGCAAATGATTACAGATTTTGCTACAACACAAAATTCGAAACTATCAAACGATGAGCAATTAATAAATTTGCCGCAAGCGGAAATGTCTGGAATGCAAATAGATCAAACGGTGATGATTGATCATGAAAATAAATTTGAAAAACGGAAGCAAAATATTGCAACTAATGAAGCACTGATTAGTAATGGCGCATTCAATAGGTCAGTAAATGATGATTACAGAATTTCTACTGATCGAAATGATGGAAGATTGATCTTGGACGAAGTGATTAAATCATCGAATTTCATTTCGCCAAAATTTGAAGCTAAGAACGAAATTCATATGCCATTGAACAATGTGAATGATCATTGGATGAAAAGAAAACAATTTACTGATACGATCACTAATGATTCTATCGTTGGTGATGCTAACACTCAGTTTGTAGCTCAAAAAGTAAATGATAATAAGACTTCGATCGCTTTAAATAAAGGATCAGCGAAACTTAATCGCGACTCAGTACTAAGACACCATGTACGTATTATTAACCAAGGTTCTGTACTAGAAACATCCTTCTCGTCATCACCAATACCACCATTATCACCATTATCATCATCGTTATCACCATCATCATCATCACCATCACCACCATCATCAATTACATTACCTTCAACATTATTATCACCAACTTCATTATCATCACAGTCATCATCGCCAATTCTTTCTGATACTAAAACTGATCTTAGCAAAACTCAACAAAAATTTCATACTAGTATATCAGATAAGAATAAAAGTTTTAATGGTAAGCATATTAACTAATTGATCAATTTTGATAATTATTCTCAACTTTTACTTGACAAAAAAATTTAAATCAAAAAACTTATCAGATTTAATTAACAAAATAGTGTTGAAAATCAAAAATAAACTTTATTTAGTTGTAAGGATTTGTCTTTTTCTTTTTTAAAAAAAAAAAGTGGAAGAGATGAATGACTTGAAAAGAAAACAAAAAACTTTTTACTCAAATTTGTTTTTTCTCACTGAAAAATTTTAAGCGAGCCTTTACTAAGCTAATTACTAGCGCATGCTTTATATTATCAGCAAGATAGATGGATGCTTTAAAGCAGTAAGGATATTTTGATAAAGTTTATCTTTTAAATTTATCAAATCTCAAAGTTAATATTTTAAACAGTTTTGTTAAAAAGTTACTTTTATAATGGCAATATTGCATGACTAAGTAAGTATCATCTTATCACAAGCACTATCAATGCATGCACAAAGCACATTATCATTTTCAGGTGCACGAGCACGAGGTACACATCGCAAGCATGCAATTACTGAACAGATGATATCATCAAGTAGTGAAGAATTCTCGCATGAATCTTCTATTTCAATGCACACTAATACACCTGAGTATAAGGATCAGAAATTGATTGCATCAAATGCTGATAATGAAATGATATTATCAGTAACACCAAATAATATTGATACTATTACAAATAGCATTAATGATAATGCTATTAGTATTACTCAAGAGCAATCAGATGAGGAATTGGATATGGATTCGAATGATTATAAAATCATTGATAAAATTGATTCGACATCACTCATTCATGATTCTTTAACAACTATTATTCCTATCACCACTACACCTGTAATGGAGAATATTTCTTTATCATTTGCTACCTTAAATTCTTCAGCAGCAACCAACAATAATCATTCCATTCGTTCGTCCCTTATTACCACCATTCCAGCATTTATCAATGAAACGTCAACTTTTTCTGATATGATAACAAAATCAAACCCAAATCCTTCTCAAATGATAATTTCAGAATCAACAACAATTGCTAGCAATAGAGTAGATGGATCATTTGAGTCATCCATTTCATCACAACCACAAATTCTTAGTCAACCTATTCCATCTGATAAATCATGGCTTTATGAGAGCTTACAATCAATTATTAATTCGCAGGTTCTATCGGAACAACAAGAAGAATTATCCGAAAAGAAGCTATCATTTGGCTCATTTAATACTTCAGGTGTAGCAACATTTAGCACAACTATTAGCAATAATAATAATAATAATAATAATAATAGCAATAGTAATATTAATAATAGTAATAACAATAATGATAATAGTAATAATAACTTTCCTGTGAGAACAACCATAATGAATCCGTTGAGAAAATTATCAATGCAAGCAAATAATTCATCTCTGTTATCAATTTCTACTCAAAAATTATCACCAAATATATTCGATACTACAGCTAGCAATGTTGAACAACAAACAAAGAAGCCAATAAAAGAATTGGAGAAGGAATCTGAAGAAGATCATTATTTCAACGTTGATTCATCGATTTTTATGAATGCTACCAATTTTCAAAAACCATCTCATACAATAATATCTCATAATCGAATTGAAAATAATGGTATCAGTACAATGATCGAACAATTAAACTTTCCTTTCAATGAAACAAAAGAAATGAAAAAGGAAAGAGGTGAAGGAAAAATTGGAACAATGAATTTATCACCATCATCGTTATCACCATCATTATCATCATCATCAAGAATTGATAGTAATATAAATTCAGGAAACACCACCATACATCCGCTTGTATCAGCAATTCAGGAATTATCAGAAGAAATGATTGCATCTGATGGAGAAATTAATTCCAATTCTCAATCTAATGCACTATTAAATGAAAAACATAGTGTAAACACTGTAGATGATTATAAATTGCACTCATTAAAGCACAAACAATCACTTCCGGAAAATCATAATGACATAACAGGCGAGCAATTTACGGTTGCACATGATGCACAATTCATGGTCAAAAGTATTCCTTACCGGACAACAATCAAACAAGGTTCATCTTTTGACCATTTATCAAACTGAATTGAATGTAAGAAGAGATATGGTGAAATTTAAAAATAAAAAAAATGAACTATAACAAAAGATTGTGATTCAATTTACAGGTGAAATTAATGAGATACTAAAAGATCAGACTACAATGAATGATGCACATGAAGAAGAAATGAGAATGGAATCGGAAATTTTAAATCAACAAAATATCACTAATGACTCACAAGTAATGCAGGTGACAACACCGCATGCAGTAGTGCATGCTGTCACCTCATTGCAACTTGAAAACGATGAAATATGCTTACTACCGCCAGATGCAGGTCCTTGCCATGATTATGTACTTCGGTGGTTTCATAATTCACAAACTGCAAAATGTGAACAATTCTCATACAGTTCATGCGGTGGTAATAATAATAATTTTCCTGATAGACATACTTGTGAAGCAAAATGCTCACATGGTTAGTGGTTTTAATTTAGAATTTCAATTTAAAAAAAATTTTAAATTATATAATAAAAAAAAAGCTATTCATCTATCATCATTTCTCTCTCTCTCTCTCTCTCTCTCTCTCTCTCTCTTTTAGTTTCCTTAAAAATTATGCAAATGGAAATATCAATTTATACAAGAGAAAAAGAAAGTATTACTTTATAGATAATTCGATTAAGTCACAATTCTTTCTCTCTCTTTTAGTTTCTGTTTTTTTTAAATTATTTAAATAGAAATATCAAATTATACAAGAAAAAAAAAAAGAAAGTATTACTTTATAGATAATTCGATTAAATCACAATTACCGGAACGATGTACCTATAAAAAAGATGAAGGTTATAGTAATGGGTATAATGTTAAGTGGTACTTTAACGTACGTAATTTACGATGTGAACAAATGGTATACAAAGGTCAAGGTGGCAATTCAAATCAATTTGAAACACTTGGCGAATGTCAAACTTTTTGCATACGTCAGTATAAACTATTAAATTAATGAAGAAGTATTTTTAGATTTTAATTAACCTTTGCATGATTTGTGATATTTTAAAGAATAGAAATATTGCATGCATTTGCTTCTCAAAATAATATTTCTTTAATGCTAAATTGTATTAATTAACTAACAAATTAATATTATTATTAATTAACTAACAAATTAAAATTGTCACTAAAATTTTGCTTAAATTTCCAAAAAATAATATTTCATCATATTTTTTTTCTATTTTTTATAAAATTTTTTGTAATATCTGAATAAGTAAACAAGTATTTGAAACAATTCTTTTCCTTTGCTTTTATTTTTAGCATTGGATGATAAAGTTCCTGAGATGGACACAACCGCTAAACAAATTGCGCATTCTTTGAAATCCACTTCCGTAGATGTTCATCAGAGAGGTTTTGCCGCATCACAGGATCCGGAAAATGAGCAGCAACAGCAGCAACAAGCATTATCGATTACCGAAACAGATAAAATGTCAGAAGGTCAACATCATGTCCAGGACATTACTCAGAATACAAATGAACGTCATCGTTCAAGGTATTTCATATCTTTTTAATGCACCTTTTTCATTAATTAATTACTTTATTCACTAAAGTTATTTTTAGGTTATTTTGAAGTTATTTCAGGATAGTATCAGATAAAAATTCGATTAATGTTGAAAAAATTCAACCGATCAATTCAAAGCAATTATTAACACAAACAGTAACACCTGCAGAACTAATTCCTCAGAATTTGGATAGATCAGCAAGTGAGACAATAAATGCACGAGAATCATCTAAACAACAATTATTATCAACATTTAATGATCAGAATAGTAAACAAATTTCAGGTAAATTACTCTTTCTTCTAATTTCATTTTTCTTCAAACTATTTCAACAAATCTTTTCAATTTTCAGTGAAACATTCTTTCAGCATATTAATCTTATTCTATATTTATTTTTTTAATTTTTAATAAAAATTTTTTCTGTATTAAAAAAATTAATTTATTTTCTATGTTTTTATTTTTATTTTAATTTTTTTTTTAGGAAAAGAAATTAATAATGCAAAAACATTTGGTGCAACAATTGTAAACAAAAATAATGATGCAATTGTTGATCTGCCAAATATTTTTGATGATATAAGCCATACGCCTAGTTGTCCTAATGGCCATAAGCCAATACAACATGCAGATGGTAGGCCAATGATGTGTTTACCTGGTAGAAATCAATGTGCTGGCAATTCACTCTGCTATTTCAATGGTGTTGATTTCTTTTGTTGTCCAAATGCTGAAGATCCATACGATGAACATGTATTTGGAGGTTTTAATTTTAATTAAACAAAAAAAATTTTTTTATTTTCTGACCAGGTAAAAATTAATGTGCTGGCAATTTAACTACAATTAATTGTCTACTTAATTTCTTTTTTTTTTTTTTATTTTATTTTTAAAAATTATTATAACCATATAAAAGTTAATTTTTGTGACAATATTTATTTAATGAAAAATTTTTAAATTTGATTAATTCAAATCCAAAATTTCCAAAAATTTAATTGAAAATATTATAGGTTATGGTGGTGAAGAAGTGAAACGTGGTTATAAGAATGTTAAAAAGACACCAATAAATGGTAATGAATTGATTGTTCGAAAGCTTCGATTGAAACGACAAGCGCAAATGTCTTCCAATCGTCCTTTAGCAATGAATGTAGCTACACGTATTGATTGTTAGTTCTAAATGCATTTTACAAAATTTAATCATTGCATTTCTTTTCTTAAATTTATTGAAAAATTGAAAAAACTAAAACTAAGTAAAACCTTTTATTCTAATTACAGTAACTTACTACTGTTGTTTTTACAGTACTATTACAGTACTACATTTAAATTCATTTTTGTCATTTAAAATATTTGAAGAAATTGTATGTAGTTTGATTAAATTGCTTCAATATTTCATTCATAAAATTAACAAATTCTTCTCGTGAATATTACATAAATTCAATTTTTTTATGCCAATTATATTTGTGAAAAAAAAAAAATAATTTCTTCTATTTACTATAACAAAAAAAAAGAAGAATTTCCCATTATTTTTTTTTCAAATAATATATCTCATTTAATCAACTATTTATTTCCAACACAGTTTGAATATTTTGCTTTTTTTTTTTAGCCAAATTAGAAATGCATTATAGTTTAATATGAAATATCTGCCTTTTTAATTAAATACTCTAATACTACAAATTTTTTTATAATGATCTTTTTTTTTTAATTTCAATTTTTATTTGCAGCCAAAGTACCGAAATATTCATTGGCCAAAGCATCATTTGCAGTAAATAATAGTAGTGATACTAGACAAATAACTAATATTTGTATGCAAGATGTTAATACGGGTAAATGCACAGAAGCGCATCTTCGATTCTTTTATGATCGTAGAGTGAATACCTGTCGATTATTCTATTATAGTGGTTGTGGCGGTAATGAAAATAATTTTGCCACTGAGGAAGAATGTCAACAACAATGTAAAAGTGGTAAGTTTAATATGACAAAAATAAATGAACTAAATTTTTTCTTTTTTAATCAAATGAAATAGAAGAAAGAATGAATGAAATAATCATATGGTAATATTTTAATAAAAATTAGATATAAAATTTTTAGTAAAACTGTCTAATAATAGCTTAATCAATCTAACTTTTACGTGTGTTAAACGTATGTTACAGTAGGAGAAAAATACAAAAATGTGATAAGTGATAAGATAATGAGAGATGTGCTTTCTTTTTTTCACGTATGTGTGTTTGTTTTTAATTTTATGAAATGTTTTAAATTTAGATAAAGCATATGATGAGGATGTGTCACCAGGAAGTTGTCCTTACGGTGAGCCACCACTTGGTGATAACGCACCTGTGATATGCGGTAAAGACTCAGGATCATTTGAATGTCCAAAGGGATATTATTGTCGCATGGGACCACCAAATGTATGCTGTCTCGAAAAACTTCTTCCAGGTAACAATTTCATTTATTACATTTTTGTGTTTTAAATGATTATTGAAAATTTTAAATTTCTTTTGCACTTTTGTTATAATCATTTCTGTGCTTAAACTCTTTATTCATGATGATATATATTTTATTATCTGTTTAATTACGCTAATTTTAATTATGTATTATTATAATTATAAAAATTTTTCAATAATTTTTTACAGTTTCGGAAAAAATTTTGGTAACAAAGAAACATCACGAAAATATTCGTTTTGCACAACCAAAAGTAAAAGCAAGCGAAAATGTTGGTTATCAATTTGATGAGAAACAAAAAGAAAATGATGGTATGATATTGAAATTTATCAATTTCATCTTAAGATTTATTATATAAATGAATTCTTTTTAAAACTTTACCAAATAATTAACAGTTATGATAAAATTTTTAATTGTGAAATATTTAATTAATAAAAGTATTACAAGTAAGCATTTATTATCTTTAGCAGAAAATTCACCATTAGCAATTACATCAACAAACATTTGTCCGGATGGTACTGATGCATTACTTGATGAATCTACTCAACAACCACTCAGATGTGGCCTAGGCTACGATGGACAATCTTTCTGTCCAGTTGGCTATTATTGCTCTATAGATTCAGAAAAGAATGGTAATAATTCAATAATTATTCACAGCATATTTATAGTAATAGTTAGCATTTTTATTCTATCTTATTTCATAAAGAAAAAAAATGTGCCTATAATACTCATTTCGAATCGATACTATCAGTAAGGTATATTGATTGAATTAAAAAAATTATTTTCAATTATATTGTTAATTTTTTTTTTATTTTTGAATATACTTACAGGACGATTATGTTGTCAACTTGGAGTAGTAGGAGTAAAAATACCACCACCACCAAAAATACCACCATATTTTGGATTACGACCATCAAATCCAGGCGAAATAATCCCACGTGGATCATTGCCATCTGATTATGTCTCATTGAAGCAACGTTAGTTGATACTAATTAAGAACTTTTTTTTTTAATGATATTAATGAGTGAGTAAAAATGATGAATGGATAAATAACAAAAAATTTCAATCGTTTAAAACTTTATAAAATATGCAGTCTACAGATTGCAGATTGTAACAGCTAAAATTATTCATAATTCTTAAGGCCAATATATTATATATTAATTAATTAAAATTATTTTTATGAGTAGATAATTATTATTTCAGAAGCAACTCGAATATCAAATACAGCTGAGCCTAGTGAACAATATCAATCACATTTAGATTTAAGTGGCAAAAAATTAACTATGAATGGTTCTGATTCTTTTTTCTTTCTTTTCATCATATTAATATTTAATTTAAAATTATTAAAAAATAAAATGGTTAAAGTAAAAGTCATAAACAATGGCCATTTTGAAATTTCGACTTAAACTATTTTAACCATTCATTTAAGCTTTTTATTTTTAAGTACAACCTATAAGTGATTCGAATAGAGCAGAAGAAGATGCAATAGAACCTTCGGAAAATCTTATTCCATCTGATGAACAAACAACAGATTCTTCCGGAAATGTTGTTCCATCTGGTTAGTTTTCCTTATTTTAAAAATGCTTTTATCCGTGGAAAAATACAGTCAAAATATCTTTTTAAAAAATGAAATAGTATTAATTATTTTTAAATTGATATTAAATGTTGTCAAAAAGAAAAAAAGTAGTCAACCTAATGTTAAGTTAATTAAAAAGTAATTCTATAAATGAAATCAATTCAATGTTGTATCAAATTTTTAAATAGAGCTTTTTTTTTTCAACAATTTAATAATTATTAGATTGCATATTTTAGACTCTAAATTACAAGATGATATTTATGGTCGAATGATGCTTAAATCAAATGATCAAGCATTTCGCACACAAGGTTCTTTTTTTTTTTGAGAAAAAGATAGTTGACTACTTGAGATAAAGAATTAATTACAAATTAATTAAATAATCTAATGATGTAATTAATTTTAAATAATTTATTTCAAAACACAAATCTACAATCTTATATACAAATGTTATAATTATTGCTAAGATTTTCTATTTTCTAATTGGTTTGTATAAAGTTAGTAACGTTTATAGCACTTTACAATGCAATAAATAATGTAGCTTCACCTGAAGCAGAAAATAATGAAGTTCAAATTGATATTGGAGAAATGAAAGATCCATTCGAATCGTTGGAATACGCTCAAAAAAGCACTTCTGATCGAAGTATTTGTCTTCTAAAGCCTAGTGAAGGTTGTTATTTTATAATATTATTATTTGTTTTAATCAATAACAATTTTTTTCCTTTTTACAATAATAAATTAAATTCTATTCCTAGTAAATATTTATTCAAATTATTATTATATATATAACTAGAAAATAAATTTTAGGTCGAACATGTCGAGAAGATGAATCACCTCCTCGAACAAATTTACAGTATTTCTACAGTAATCGTGATAAACGTTGTAAACTTTACTTCTATCGAGGATGTGGTGGTAGTCAAAATCGATTTGATACTAAAAGGCATTGTGAATTAACATGCGCTGTAAGTATTATTTTTATTTTAATAAAAATGAAATATTAATTCTTTTGATCAAATTTTTTGCAAAATAAATGAAAATAAAAAATACTCATGAATTATTCATAATTAATTTCAGGGTGTATAAAACGTTGATTTTATCATAGAACTGATTGTTTTATTGATCCATTTCACGTGATCATATTCATCTCTAAATCAATCACTTCAGATCAACGTCATATATTCTATTAACCTTTGACATTACCATTTTGTTTGTTATTTATATATGAAAGAACAAATTATCAGGAGATTATCGATGCGAATATCTTTGTTTTTTCCCCCGTCTACCATTTGTTATTGTATCGATAGTTTTTAAGTAATACTTTTGAGTAATTAGCTTAATTGTTCAAAAATATTTTCTTTCAGAAATTTGGTTAAAATGTTTATAACTTTCATTCACAATCCAAATAAGAAAATAAGTAAAACAAGCAAAATATTTTTGAGAAATGATAAATTCATAGCTATTTTACAATTATTACCTTAATTTAATCTTCATAGATATAATACATTCAATCAATATAATTATCCTCTAAGAAAAAAAAGGAAAAAATGAATCTAAACGATTAGGTCATTGATGATGTTATCTTCTTGTATGTACGTTTCTATGTCTATGATTTATACTACTTATAGGTTTTAATTAATCTATTGAAATTGAAGAATATTTATTGAGCAATTTAAAGAGGTCTAAAAATGATAATTATCAAAGATCACTTGGAAGGAAATGTTTGGTAGTTTTAAACATATCACAATTACAGTATAATAGAAAGTTTAATTAAATACACTATGCATTAATGATAAAAGGTTAATGTTTGTAATCGTATGTAACGTTTTATTTTGTTTACGTTACGCGATTATTATGCCAATTTGCTTTACTTAATATATTTTAAGTAATTGTTAATAATCAATAAAAGGTTTATTTAATATTCTGTCAGAGTAATGTTTGACACAACAAATGAATCATATTGGATGTAATGATACATTACTATCGAATATCATCATTGACATACACATAAGTTTACGTAACATACGTAAAATCTCCTAATTTTATACAAGTATTGGATAAATTTTTTTAACCTAAAATTCAAAAAGTCTTTTAAAAAAATAATAGAAAGCTTGCTTTGTTTAATACAAAATTATTTAAAATATGATAAGTCAAAAAAAAGAGGAAAATCTATTCATTCAAATTTGCTATATTTAATTTTTTTTTTTATTCCTTTAATTATATGTTAAAAATTAAGAGAAAGAAAGAAATTAAAACAGTCATTCTTTATTTCTATTGTTTATTATAACATTAAGCCATACAATATTTCTATTTTAACAAATATGAAAAGTGATAAAATGAATTAATTTTGGGAAGCTTCATTAGAAACAATTTCGAAAGTGGAATAACTGTGCTAACTCTACAAGGAAACTGTAACGATGATACCGTATTTCATATCTTATCTCCTGGAGTACAGTATCATACTACTGTCGCGAATTATAATTTCGCGAAAACTTCTATTTAAAAACAATCCCATAATATCATAAATTATCTCTACATAAATCTACTTTCTTCAGATTTTTCACATGTGATTTTCATCTTAGATACGTTCAATTCTCACATATGTAAAACAATCTTACAGTATCTTAACCTATCTCTTCTTAAGTCTGATTTTTTAAGATTTATTACACATGTACGACAAAAATTATTGGTGCCAGAGTCGGGATCGAACCAGCGACCTTTAGATATTTTATAATTTTTGTCGTGAAAGGTTGTCTGGTTGATACTCGAATAGTTGCAATACAATAGGAAGATTAATAAACCTTTATTATCCGGAAACGTAATATTAATAAACAGAGCAATAAAAAGAGAAGAAATTTATAAAAGAAGACTGGAGGAATTGAAATTGGTTAACCGAGTAGTAGTTGGCCTTAAAGACAATAATTCATGTAATTTTTTAGGATTGAATTTTATATGAATGGTAATCGGCGTGTCTAAGATAAAAATCATATGTGTGAAGAATTGGAAATGTTATGAGAATTGAGAATTTATGATGTGAGATTACATGTATGATAAATCTTAAAAAACCAGACTTAAGGAGAGATAAGTTAAGATACTGTAAGATTGTTTTACATATGTGAGAATTGAACGTATCTAAGATGAAAATCAGATGTGAAAAATCTTAAGAAACTAGATTTATGTAGAGATAATTTATGATATTATGGGATTGTTTTTAGATAGAAGTTTTCGCGAAATTATAATTCGCGAAAACTACGATCCATTTCATTTCCTATTATTAATCATCATATTTCGTTTTTTTTTTTGCTATATTTTAATTTTTTTTCATTTCTTTAATTATTTAATTATTAAAAATGAAAAGGAAAAGAAAGAAATTAATTATTTCTTTAATCGCATTGTTTGCTATAACACTAAATCATAAAATATTTCTGATTAAATAAATATGAAAAATGATAAAATTAATTAATTTTGGAGAGCTTCATTAGAAATGATTTAAAAAGTGCAATAACTATGCTAACTTTATAATATACCTATGTAATACCGTAATTTTTATCTCGTAAGTGTATTAAATAAAAGTACAAAACGCATTACGGTCGAATACTGTATTCTAAGGAATTACGGTAGTGAGGAATTTATAGTTTGCAAAGATTATCACTCACGTGTAGGTCTCGTGACGAAGAGCTGATTAGCGCGTAAAAGGATAGTTTGAATATGTCATTGATTAAAAGACAGATGTCACATAATGCGAGTGTTTGGATAATGGTTTTTGGTCACATTTTTTTTTACTTCATTACTAGTAAAGTTTTATTATTAAGGTTAATTCTCATGGAATAACCACCGAAAAAATAGCTAAAAATTAACTTTGTATGTTCCAAAATAATTAGTGTAATATATTTATATCACAGAAAATGGCTAATGATCATCAATAAGTCATTATATTAAGAATTTAGCATCTTTTTAGAAGTTCTGCTGAAGTGAGTAGTCGAGTCGAAGAAATTAACAGGTAATGAATGAAGCACTTGGTGAATTATTGAATTTATTCGATGATGAGGAACAAATTGAAGGTATTTATTCTATTTTATTATTATCAATCCAATGGTCATTGCAAACATTGGTCAGCACTGAATGAATCTATTTGTTTTGTGTTTTTCCATCAATAAATAAGCATTTTTCCTACAGGTTATTTTTTATATTAATTTTTTTATAGTATATGTCATAGTTGATGTATAATTCTGTTGTAATTTTAAGAACAAAGTTTATTAAATATCAATGATGAAAATGATAGAGAGATTGAGAAGATCAGTGCCAAACAAGAAAAGGAAGAAGCGGCTAATTTAACTGTGCCAAATGCAATTAACGCGGATAAAAAACGTAAGTGTAAAATTTAAGCAATAATTGAAAAGTATTGTATTGTTTTATATGGATTGCTCACTTATTCTTATATTACTTTGTAAGCTTATTAACTTGCAATTTATGAAAGAAAAAGTGTAACTGAAATGTATTATTGTCACAAGCTATAATCATATATTAAACAAATAATAGCGTTGGCAACTTTCATGTTTTTAAGAAATGCTGGAAAGAATTTTTTGTAATTCAATTTTAGCAATTCGATCTCTCATCCCAATAGATTTTGGATATTCTAAAGATAATACTAATAGCTATGACCAGAAGAAGAAAACTGATAATAGAAGCAGTTTGTTACATTGTGATGGTACAAGCTCGAGTGAAGACGAACGAAGTAGAAATGATAACGTGTGAGTGAATCAGACAAATTCTTTATATTGGTCTTGAACTTAATTAAAAGTTAACGAATAGTTTTATTTGTTTCATTTAATGTGCTCATTTTATTCTTTTAATCTCATTTTAGAATCTATCTCAGCGAGGCTGGTCGAAACATCAAACGGCAGTTGAAAGAAGCGAAACGAAGTCAGTCAAATTCTGCATATCAAGTCAGTCTTTAAATGAAATGCAGTGTATTCATAGTTCAATTTTTGTTCCTTTTTACCATTGTATTTATTTGTTCGTTTATTTATTTGTTAGTTAGTTTTTTCTACACTTTTTGGTGGCAAGATAGTGTTTTTTTTTTTTGGAATAATTTTAAAACTAGATTTTTATAACAGTTTTTTTGAGGTGGAATCTACGACAAGACAAAAACTTAGTGTTCAAGAAAATCGTCATGCACTTCAAGGAAAAGCTCAGCAAATAACAAGAGCTGTCGAGTCATCATCGAAAGATGCGTTGAAAGTTTATGATCAATTTTTTGGTATTCGCATCAGGTATTTAGTTTATTTTGAAACTGGTTTTTTTTTTTTATTTGTAATCGTATTATATCGCTTTTGAAAGGAATAAAATTTTGTGTGGTGCAAGTTAAATTTCGGAAAAGAGAAGATAGAACATCTTTTTGTATTTTTCGTATAAGGATCTTTTTTCGGTATAAAGAAAATCTTTTTTTAACGGTATAAAGAGGATCTTCTTTTATTTACACATAATCAAAAATTAATCTCAATTGGATATCAGTAATATAAATCATGGTATATCTTGTTACTGCAGGAACCCAATTCTTTCATCAGCAGCTTTTGAATCATACTGCGAAGGTTTGAAGAAAATCCGCTTAAGCCAGCTGAAATCCAGCTCTGTACGAATTTTATCTCAGTTGACTTTTTTTAAATCTCTTCATTGCTAGCATGATAAGTGATAGGCGATTAGCTAATCGTAGATGTTAATATAATTGTCGGTAAGGTTAAAGATTGTAATATTAAGATTGTAACAAATACAAAATTTAGGACTAATACGAATTAAAGATTGTAATAAGTAATGAAGTGCTTACTTTGTAGCAGTTAGACAATAAATGGATTTCCTTGGCAGTTATCGTAGAAAAAACAGGTTGTCGTAAAAGCGCAAACGGAAATGAATATATGATCTGGAATACTTCCGACTTAACGGTACATTATTTTTAAAAACTGATTTGTAAATTCAGTGTTTTGATTGTTTATCATCCCTTTCTCCTTTAAAAAATAACAATTTGTTGTGGGTTATTAAGTGCACAAAATAAATTTTGCTAAAAATAAGAATGAAATTTTGGCCTTTTC